GCCTGACATCCCGTCAAGCCCCACGAGGGCGGGTGCAGCCTCAGGTCCCTGCTGATTGCTTGTTAAGGCTCGTTACAGGAACTCGGCCTCCGCTATGGTTGCAGCCATCTTGTGTTACGGAACCCCCACCACCTCTGTTGTGGGCCCCCCCACCTCTTTGTGGCAGAGTGACGGTCAATTTGCATATTCCTGCTTTATTATATAGGCTAAGGTTAGCTGTACTTAAGAGGCAAGATACGGATATCTCTTGCTAATAAAAGAACAAAATTGTATATTGTAAAATTTACTAAACGATGGGTATATAGAAAAATAACAAAGCTAGATATAAAAATGTAACAGTTAACACTGAGGTGTTTGGTGAAGCCAACACTATGCATTAAGTAAAAGCATTCCCAGTCTTCATTCAGTATCACACTAAGACTAAATATAACTAAAGGATGTAATAAAATATTTTAAGTAGAATTACTTTTAATTCTCTTTATCTTAATATGTACCAAAACAATGATCTTTTTGGTTTAAGACAATGGAAAAGAAAAGTGGTTTAGAATTTAAAAATCAAAGTATAAAGAGACATATCAACTCCACCAATGTTAAGAATTGCTAAATAAGTAAAAAAACTGAAACCTCTTCTACAGAAATGAGTGGTTTTCCAACAAGGGAACAACTACTTATTGTGTACCCTTTCCCTTCAAAGAAATCATCTATAGTTGTTTCTGTAAGTTTCATGAATTATAAAAGTCACTTCCTTGGTAAAGAATATGAATGAGTGGAAAGTAATAAGAAAAAGTAATAAGAAAAGAGTTACTAGGTATCAGGCACAGTACTCAGTACTTTGCGGGATGTGCTGATAATCTGACCTTTTAGCAGAGATTATAAAAATGCCTGGCATTCGCTGAGGAGTTACTAGGTATCAGGCACAGTACTCAGTACTTTGCATGCATTATCTCCTTTAAAGTGAGATGCAGACACTGCTAATTAATCCAATACCCATTCTTCTCTTCTTTGTTAGTAACTGAATCCTGATTCAGTGTGGCACTTGTATACAGATAAAAGCCTGTATTTCCCAGTGTTCTGTGACTGCTAGGTGCGGCCAAGTTATCAAGTTCTGACCACGGGAATATATGCAAAAACTCATAGTGTGTGACTTTTGGATATGGTCCTTAAAGGGTTACAAAGCCAGGCGAACCTTTTGCTTTGTCCTATTGCTTCCATTTTGCTGCTCCGGATGTGGATGGGATGGTTATAATTGCAGAAGTCGTTCTGCATCACTTTCGGGATGGAAGCTTCAAACTAATGATAGCGGACAGTGCTAATAACCATGGAATCGCCATCCCAGAGCTGGATTTCTAACATCAGAATTTCCTTTACAAAGAAAAATATGTTTAATCACTGCTGTTTTGGGATGTCTGTTAATCCTAAGAGATAGAGCTGGGAAGAACCCCTGTTTTACAGATGAGTGAGCAGATCCATAGAGCTAAGCAACTTGCCACAGTCACACAGCTAGTAAGCAACCTCCAAAGTGCCAAGCTTTTGACCACTGTGTGATACCTCCTTCAGACTGGAAACCGGCAACTCAGTGAGAGACTCGGCAGAGAACATGAGCCTTGAAAAAGGTAAGACAAAGTTAAAGAAGGATTGGCAGTTCCACTCATTAGACTAGGTCAAGACTTGGCTTAAAATACTGGAATACACCAAAGTTAACCAAGAGGGAATCCAGTCAGTCTAGTGAGTTTGAAAGAAGAAAAAACTAGGACAGAGAACCCATTTCTGAAACATGTGGGGGCTACGACCACAGAAAGGAAAAGCGGGTGACTCGTAGGTCAGGGAATAAATCTAACCAAGAAAGAAACCTGTGTGAGCTATGCAAATTTTCCTCATTCAGGTATAGGTTCACTACTGGATTAAATCCAAATAGCTACCTGGGAATTACCACCAAACTAATTTTTAGAAATGAACTAAAAATTCTCATGGGAACAACTAAGGAAAATAATATATTTAAGCAAATGTGGAATCGGGAGGGTATTTATATACTAATTAAGCAAAGGAACAACTTTACAGAGTTCTGAGATACAATCAACCTTTGTACCATATTCCCCTCCCTCGCTTTGGGGATGGAGGAGGAGTGTGAAGGTGGATGGAGAAGGGCACAATCCTCCTCTGTTTCCTTGTAGCTTTGAGCAATTAAAAACTGCTTAGGATCTAAAGCATCTGGTATGCTGTTTTGAGTTCTCTTGGAGGGAGTGAAGTAAACTAGGAAAGATAAATGTAGTCTGAAAAATTGAACTGATGGAAGACAGACATGGCCAATTTTTAAGAAACAGCAAGGGATGAATGAAGAAAGAATTACATAAAATGCTACCTGTAGACAGAGAGAAAGAAGAGTCTGAGGCTTTAACCAGCAGGGCAGCTACTGTTCCCTAACTGGCTAATATTATCATCAAGTTTCTGAATTAATAACTCTATGGTAAACTACTCAAATAATTAGATAACCCCCCCATATGTCAACCAACAGAAGGACCAAGAAAAGCTACTGCTTGCATTTTTACACTAATGCTAAAGCTAACATACTTTAAAAAAAAAATCATGTACTACTTTCCAATAATGCATAAACTATGGGATAGACATCATCTTGTACTGCAGATTTCATTCTCAGGTTCCCAATCAAATGTCATATCATAACCCAGAGTCAGCTTCAGGAGAAACCCTAACCAATGCAGAAACAGTAAACTGTAACTCTATAGTTAGGGAGGCCCTAATCCAATGTGCCTGGTGTCCTTATAAGAAGAAACTTGGTCAACCAGAGACACACCAGGTGTACATGTGCCCAGAGGAACAATCATGTAAAGAGCCATCTGCATGCCCAGGAGACAGGCCGCAGAAGAAAGTAAACCTGACAGCACCTTAATATTGGACTTCTGGCTTCCAGAACTGCGAGAAAATATATTTGTTGTTTAAGCCACTCAGTCTGTGGTATTTTGTTATGGCAGCCCTAGCAAACTAACACAATATGACTTAATACCTGTGATCTAATTTTTTGAACCAACTAGGTGATCTGGTTGATGGATTTTTAATAAAATGTGTGTTCCTCTTGTGCTTTGCTTTCTTTGTTAATATTTTTATTGAAATACAATCTACATTGAAGAAAAATACACAAATCATAAATTTATAGCTTTGATGAATTTTCATAAAGTGAACATATCCATGTAACCACTACTCGATTCAAAATATAGAACTGCACTATCAACAATAAAAAACAAACAAAATATAGAACACTGGTAGCTGTGCTTTGATTTTTAATTGATGGATTCATTATTAAATTGTCTGTACTAATCTCTTACATATCCTGAGTAATTTTGGTTTCTTCCTAATAATTATTTTTTTAACTTTCAAGCAAAAGTGTTACAGTGGACACAACCAGTATTGTTTAGAAATGCTGCAATATTAGATACATTAAACTTCTTAAAGACTAACATGTTAAAAATAAACCAACGAGTCATGGTTCCAGTTTAAAACATTTATTTTTCTTTTCTTCTTTTTTAACATGAAGAGACTATGGTTATCTTTGTGAGACACAGTCAGATAAAATTATTACATGGGATCCAATTAATTTTTCTTTCTCTCACTTAATGCCTTTTAATATTTTTTTCTGACAAGAGTTAGAAGCAAGTAATGGCTTTTGTGGAAAGTGAATGTCAGTTGAATCAGTGACGCAGTTAATTTATTTGAATTATTTTTCATGAATTTTATAGTCTTAAAATTAAACTATTTAAAAAAACGAGTTTTTTCAGTTAATGCAGTATATTTTTCCCTTGTAAGTGTCTTCCTCAGTAAATTATATTCTAATGGCTTTTAAGTATTTCAAAAAGGCTGGAGAATATAGAGAACCTGCATATATAAAAGACTAGTGGTTATAAGTCAGAAATAGGGACGAGAGGTGATATCTGAGAAAACCTTCTTGAGATTGCAACAACTGTTCATGGCAGAATTAAAGAAGTCCAAATGAAGAGAAGGGTAGGGATGTTTACACAGTGGGACTGAGGGAGGCTGTAATGAAGCCCAGAGAAAGCATTAGCAGTGTGCTCAGTCATATAGGGTGAGAGGACAGATAGCTGAGGAAGATGACAGTGCTCAGTTAGAATGGTAAAAGGAGCTGACTGGGAAGCAGCAGAAACAGGCAGCAATTAGAGGAGAGAAAGCAATGTTTGCAGTTACACAGCCATAAAAAAATGGTATGCTCCAAAGCTACATGTTAGCTTCCTATTTAAAATCTAGCTGAACCTCAGTCTTAGGGTATTCGGGTCTATTAAAGTATAGTGTACCTGCAGTATCCCTAGGTATCACATTAGGGTTTTAAATCATTTGGATGCACAGACATTCAGAGAGAAGGCTGAGGATCAAAGAATGTATCAGGTCTCTCAAGGAAAAAAAAAAAAAAAAAAGACAGAAGCTGACTCCGAGACAAGGTTTTAAAGTTCAGGTAGTTTATTTGCAAAGTGGCCCCAGAAGACTGAAAGAGAATTGGGGGAGAGACACGAAGAGGAAAGAAGTCAATAAAGAGATGAGTTTAGAACACTGGTACCAGCTGTGTGCCACTGTGGAAAACTGTTGCTTAACCCTGCTGAACTCGGGAAGATAGGTTCAGACGTGTGCCTGGAGTTATCTATCCCACATGAGGTTAAGAGAGCTGGGTATTTATACACATACCAACTCCTGTCAGATACTGGTTGAGGGCTGCTCCCAGAGGGTGTGCTAATATCCTGGCAGTTCTGACCTGCCCTCCAGATGGGCAGAAGAGCTGCCAGCAGAGAAAGCTCCCAGGCTGAGACACAGATGCTAAGATTTAGAAGCTGGTCAGTGTGCACAGAAATGAAAGAGGCTGAAGGACTATGGGCAGCACTGAGAGCATCTAAGGCATCTATATCACAGTCCCTAATCCATGGGAGTCTGTTCCTAATTTGGGAATGAAAGAAACATCGCTCTTTACCTAGGGGCTGTGAAAAAAAGGGATTGAGAACTGCTCTAAGTCCTCAGACATTTTCCATTGCTAACCAGTATAGGTGTTTCTCTCAAGAAACTGCTTTACAATGACACATAAGTTACAAAGTAAGAAAAAAGTCCTGCATAATAAAAGAAACCGATGCAGTCAACAGTCCTGTGTGGTTTGCTTTTATTCTCTCTGAGCAGAGAAGGCTAGAAGAGAAGGCCACAACTTCCAACCATAAAATATATTTTCAAGAAGGCTCTTTTAGAGGGAACCAAATATATATTTATATAAAAACAGTATATGTCTGTAGAGTTTTCCCCCTTCTTCTTTTGGAATCGCTAACGATACCATATAAGCAAGAAACTGGACTGATGCATATACAGAGGTCAAAAAAAAAAAAAAAAAAAAAAAAAAAAAAAAAGAAAGAAAAAGAAAAAAAAAGGCGTCAGCTGCATTTCTTTTCACACACAGCAGCCTTTCAGAGCCGCTGGCAGGCTCTGTCAGTGCTTCGCCTCCGGCCAGGCCACAGCTGCCTATTTCTAACAGTTGGTAAGGTCATGGAAGAATGAGGTTTTTATTTCAGAACTTAAAAAAATGTTTGCTATGTCATTTTGCATTGAGCCACACAGGCTAGGTGGTTATGTATTTTTTATAAAAGAACCCTCATGGAGACATGTACTAAAGAATTTAAGGATGGAATGATGTGAATTATTTTCTTTAAAATAATCCAGTGAGGTACAAAAGGACAGTGGCTGGGGCATAGCTGAAACAAGAATGACCACATGTTGATAACCTGAAGTTGGATGACAGGTACATGAAAGTTCACTGTACTATTTCTCTGCTTTAAAATTTTCCACAATGAAACACAATGAAAGTTAAAAAGAAAGGTGGGGGCGGGGGGAGAGTGGGATGGGAAAGGAAATAAAGTTTATTTTTTTGGGTAAACTTTTGTTTTTCATGAAAAGCTCTATTAAAAAAATTCTTCTCTACTAATATATATGTGAGAAATCAGGCACAGTTCAATTATTTTTACATTGATTTTTAGAGAGAGAGAGGAAGGGAGAGAAACATCAATGTAAGAGCAAGTCTTTGGTCGGCTGCCTCTTGCACACCTGCTATCAGGGATCGAGCCCAAAACCCAGGCATGAGCCCTGACCAAGAATCAAACTGGCAGCCTTTCAGTACATGGGACAATGCCCAACCAACCAAGCCACAATGGCCAGGGCAGCCACAGTTCAGTTTTTACACTGCCATTTTCCTTTACTATATATTAATCTTTAAGCTTAAAATTAAAGATTAAATCAAGCTTGAATTAAAGGGGTGAGAAAGAAACAGAGAAGGCATATCTTTCTAAATGTAAAAAACTTTTCAAAAGTAGTGAAATGTTTAGAACACCATATTTATTACTCCATAAATTTTCTTCAGTCAGGACTTGTACAGAATAAGAAAATTGTGTTTTATGAGGCGCTGAGCTTATAGGATTCAGCTATGGGGAAGGAAGGCAGATCAGGTGTGCAGGGGACCCGGCGGGCTCAGCACCCAGGCCCGGGGGGGGGTGGGAGGGGGGGGGGGGGCTGGATGGAGGGAAGCGGAGGAGCCAATCTTGTTTTAAAGGAGCAATCTGACAAA